TTAAATCGTTCTTGATCAGTTTGTTAGCTGTCAGTACTTCCTGGAGTTTCTTTTGAGGAGAATTCTTCTGTTTCATCATTATGGATAGTCCCTGGAGTGGCGTGGAACTGCAGGGCTCTTTTTCTGTGCTGTCTGGAGTAACTTGCATTGGTGGGTGGGGCCTCAGTCAGACCTAATGTCTGTCCCCAGCTGACTGCTGGAGCCACAGTCAGACTGGTGTGTACCTTATCTTCCCCTCTCCCAGGGGCAGGACTCACTGTGGAGTGGTGTAGCCCCTGTCTGGGCTACTTGCACACTGCCAGGCTTGTGGTGTTGCTTCGATGGGATGTGGCATATTAGCCAGAGTGGATCTGCAAGGTGCACAGGGGCGGGAGGGGCAGACTCAGCTGGTTTTGTCTTTAGAGGTCTGCTTTGAGAGGGGCCTTGTGGCCCCGGGAGGGAGGCAGACCCATTGGAGGGGTGGATCCACAGAAGCACAGCGCTGGGTGTTTGCTCAGGACAAGCAAGTTCTGTGACAGGAACTGGTTCCCTTTGGGATTTTTGCTGGGGGATGGTCAAGGGAGATGGCACTCCCCAGCATCTTTGTTCCCTGCTGACCTGAGCTCTGTCCTCTGGGGCTCAACAACTCTCTCATCCAATGTCATCTAGCCCTCCCGCTCTCCAAGCAGAGCTGTTGACTTATAACATTCCAAATGTTAAGTCCAGCTGGCTGTCAGAACTCATGGAGTCCAGCCCCTCCGCTTTTTCAAGTCAGACTCGGGGTCTCTGCCTTGCCCGGCAGGCTGCCCCTCCACGACACCGGCTCTCTCCCACCAGTCCATTTAAAACGCACTGCCTCTCCACCCTTCCTACCCTCTGTGGGCCTCTTGTCTATGCTTGGCTCTGGAGAGTCTGTTCTGCTAGTCTTCTGGCAGATTTCTGGGTTATTTAGGCAGATGTGGGTGGAATCTAAGTGATCAGAAGGACGCCATGACCCCAGCATCCTCCTACACCTCCATCTTCTAAACAAATCCACAAATAAAATACTCTTACCCTCATGAGGCTTACATTTTACTGTGGGAGATGTAGCCAAGATGCAATAAGGAAAGTATAAACTGTTTTCAAACCTATAAGTGTTAAAAAAAAAAAGATAAATAAAGGAAGGAATAGTGAATAGGAATTTCTGGTTGAAAGCTGAAATGGGATAAATAGGGGGTCCAGTGAAGATCTCACTGAGAACATGGCTTTTGAGTAAACATCTGAAAGCTATTAGAAAACTGGACCTGTGGCTGTCTAGGAAAGGAGCACTTCTTTTAGAACAACAGCAAGTGTTGAAGCTGCAGCCAGGGGTAAACCTGGCATATTCAAGGAACACAGATGATACCAGCATTGCTGAACCTAATTGAACAATGTAGAGAATATCGGGAAGTGAGTTCAGAGAGGTGAAGAGGATATGGGAGAAGCAGATACCTTAAAGAGTTGGAAGTCCTAGAATGAAATTTGGCTTATACACTGAATATGATAAGAAGCCATTTAAGAATTTTTAGCATAAGCAAAATATAATTTGTCTCATAGTTAAACAGGATCACTTCTGGCAACTCTGGAAAGTGATTTGTATGGGGCTCACAGATGGAAAGAGGGAGATCAAAACAAAACAGTAGAAAGACTGAGAAATAAGTTTTCATATAGGAAACTTGAATCATAATAAAAGTGACATTTCAGGTGAATGATGAAAAGACATTTTATTCAATAAATGGTACTGCAGTAATGTGTTTTCCATATGCCAAAAATAAACCTAAACCCCTGTATCACACTTTACACAGATAATAAATTCCAAGTGGAAAAAAAGGTAATGCTTAAACTTGGAAAGTAACATTTGTAAAAATTTTAGAATATGAAATATAAGTTAATGTTTATGTTTTATTTTATGAAAATGGGTAAAATTTCATTTCAAGGCCAAAAAAAACCCCAAACACCACAGATATTGAAGGAAAAACAATAAATTTGATTTTTTAAGTAATAAATGTTTTAATATTCATATATATTTTATTAATTTTCACATTGCATATTTTAAAATATTCAAAATTTCAAAAACCATCATATGCAAAGTGGAAGAAAATGAGATTGGGCTACAAACTTTGTTAGTTAAAATGAATGAAATAACAAAAATACATTCAATGATTTAAAAAACAGTCCATAGGAGGGGCGCCTGGGTGGCGCAGTCGGTTAAGCGTCCGA